AGATGACCAGTGCAAGTTTGATGCATGAAGCAGGGCACTCAAAGCTGGTGCTCTGGGACAACACAGAGGGATGGGATGGGAAGGGAAGAGGGTTCAGGATGGGGGAACACATGTACACTCATGGCTGATTCATGTAGATATATGGCAAAACTACTACAATATTGTAAAGTAAACAGCCTCCAATCAAAATAAATAAATTTATTTAAAAACAATAAAAGACAATTGGCTCACACACACACAAAAGAAACAGGTCCACACTTGACTGGCTTTTGTTTCTCACAGTGAAGTCCTCTGTACCCCCAGTTGCTTTATTCTTCCTAGATATACAGTTCATAGAATCACACGCATGCTTTAGTATAAATTAACATAATTAAAAATAGAAGAACATTCCAGGGCTTTTCTATACAGATGCAAAAATTCTTCAACAAAATATTAGCAAACTGAATCCAACAACATATAAATGGATCATATATCATAATCAACTTGGAATTACTCCAAGGTCACAAAAATGGTTCAACACTCACAAATCAATAATGTGATACATCACAATGACAAAAGGAAGGATGAAAATCAAATCACATGATCATCTCAATAGACACAGAAATAGAAGTTGATAAAATTCAAAATCCATTCATCAAAAAAACTCTCATCAAAGTGAGTACAGAGGGATCCTATCTCAACACAATAAATACTATTTATGACAAACCCACAGCCAATATAATACTCAAAGCCTTCCTGATAAATTCAGTAACAAGATAAGCATGCCCATTCTCACCACTTCTATCTAACATAGTAGTGCAAGTCCTAGCCACAAAAGTCAGACAAGAAAAATAATAAACATTATACAAATCAGAAGGGAAGTGAAAAAATTCACAGTCTGAAGATGATATGATACGTTATAAAAAGTATTCTAAAGTCTTCACCCAAAAACTCTCTGAATAAATGATTTTAGCAAGTTTTCAAGACACAAGATTCATATACAGAAACACTTCACAATTCTATGCTCTAATAATGAAATATTAGGAAGAAAAGTCATGAAAACAATTCCACTTGAAGTTGCATCAGAAAGAATAAAATACCAAGGAATGAACTGAACCAAGAAAGTGAAAGATCTATACTCTGAAAACTATAAAATATTGATGAAAAAAATTGAAGATGATACAAAGAAATGCAAATACATCCCATACTGTTGGCCTGGGAGAATTAATCTTTTTTAAAATGTCCAAGCTCCTAGAGGAGAACATAGGCAAAACACTCTCCGACATAAATCACAGCAGGATCCTCTATGACACACCTCCTAGAATATTGGAAAGAAAAGCAAAAATAAACAAATGGGACCTAATGAAACTTAAAAGCTTTTGCACAACAAAGGAAACTATAAGCAAGATGAAAAGACAGCCCTCAGATTGGGAAAAAATAATAGCAAATGAAACAACAGACAAAGGATTAATCTCAAAAATATACAAGCAACTCCTGCAACTCAATTCCAGAAAAATAAATGACCCAATCAAAACATGGGTCAAAGAACTAAACAGACATTTCTCCAAAGAAGACATACAGATGGCTAACAAACACATGAAAAGATGCTCAACATCACTCATTATCAGAGAAATGCAAATCAAAACCACAATGAGGTACCATTACACACCACTCAGGATGGCTGCTATCCAAAAGTCTACAAGCAATGAATGCTGGAGAGGGTGTGGAGAAAAGGGAATCCTCTTAAACTGTTGGTGGGAATGCAAACTAGTACAGCCGCTATGGAGAACAGTGTGGAGATTGCTTAAAAAACTGGAAATAGAACTGCCATATGACCCAGCAATCCCACTTCTGGACATAAACACTGAGGAAACCAGATCTGAAAGAGACACGTGCACCCAATGTTCATCACAGCACTATTTATAATAGCCAGGACATGGAAGCAACCTAGATGCCCATCAGCAGACGAATGGATAAGGAAGCTGTGGTACATATACACCATGGAATATTACTCAGTCATTAAAAAGAATTCATTTGAACCAGTTCTAATGAGATGGATGAAACTGGAGCCCATTATACAGAGTGAAGTAAGCCAGAAAGATAAAGACCAATACAGTACACTAACACATATATATGGAATTTAGAAAGATGGTAACGGTAACCCTATATGCAAAACAGAAAAAGAGACACAGATGTACAGAACAGAATTTTGGACTCTGTGGGAGAAGGTGAGGCTGGGATGTTTCGAGAGAACAGCATTGAAACATGTATATTATCTAGGGTGAAACAGATCACCAGCCCAGGCGGAAGCAAGAAAAAAAGGCCCCGGGCCGGTGCACTGAGAAGGCCCAGAGGAATCGGGTGGAGAGGGAGGTGGGAGGGGGGATCAGGATGGGGAATACCTGTAAATCCACGGCTGATTCATGTCAATGTATGACAAAAACCACTACAACATTGTAAGGTAATTAGCCTCCAACTAATAAAAATAAATGAAAAAAAAAAAGAGAGAGTAGGATATGCACCAAAAATTAAAAAAAAAAAAAAGAAAATGTCCATACTACCAAAGCAATCTAGAGATTTAATACAATCTCTATTAAAATACCCATGACATTTTTCACAGAAGTAGATCAAATATCCTAAAATTAATATGGAACCACACAAAATACCAAACTGACAAAGCAATCTTGAGAAAAAAGAACAAAGCTGGAGAAGAAACCTCTCAGACTTCAGACTATAATACAAAGCTACAGTATCAAAGCAGTGTGGTATTGGCACAAAAACAGACATAGATCAATGGTACAGAATAGAGATACCACAAATAAACTCATGCACCCACGATCAACTAGTCTATGACAAAGGAGTCAAGAATATACAATGGAGGTAAGACAGGCTTTTCAACAAGTGGTGCTGGGAAAATTGGACAGCCACATATAAAACAATGAGATTAAAAGATTCCATCATTCCATATATAAAAATAAACTCAAAATCGTTTAAAGACCTAAATGTAAGAGCAGATATCATAAAACTCTTAGAAGAAACATAGGCAGAACATAAATCAGAGCAATATTTTCTTGGATCAGTCTTCTAAGGCAAAAGAAATAAAAGCAAAAATAAGTAAATGGCAGCTTGCTCCTTAAAAGCTTTTGCACAGCAAAGGAAACCACTGATAAAAAGAAAACTCTACCAACAGAATTGCAGAAAATGCTTGCAAATGATAAGACTACTAAGGGGTTAATATCCAAAATATACAAACAGTTCACAGAGCTTAACATAAAAAAGCCAACAAAAAATGGGCAGAAGACTTGAATAGACATTTTTGCAAGGAAGCAGATGGTCAGGAGGTAGGTACATAAAAAAATGTTCAAAATTGCTAATTGTTAGAGAAATGCAAATAAAAGTAATAATGAGATATCACCTTACATCTGTCAGAATGGCTATAATCAAAGTGTACACAATTACAAATGTTGGAGAGGATATGGAGAAAAGGGAACCTTTATACATTGTTGGTGAGAATTTAAATTGGTGCAGCCACTGTGGAAAACAGTATGAAGGGGTCTCAAAAAACTTAAAGTAGAACTACCATATCACCCAGCAATTCCATATTGAATGCATATCCAAAGATACTAATTAAAAAAGATACATGCACCCCAATATTCATAGCAGAACTATTTACAATAGTGAAGATATGGAACCCACCTACCATATTACTCAGTCATGAAAAAGAATAAAATTCTGTCATTTGAAGCAAAGTGGATGGACCTACAGAATGGTATGCCAAGTTAAATAAGTTGAAGACAAATACTGTATGATGTCACTTATATATGGAATCTAAAATATAATACCAGTTAATGTATATGCAAAACAGAAACATGGTAACATTAAGAATTACAATATGAACCAAAAATTTTGAAATTAACTTTTCACTTAACATGCCTCTGCATAAAAATAATTTTATTGAAGTTCCCACATAAATTTTTGTGCTATATAACTGTAATATTTCAACTTAATGTGAAGATAAACTTATACACTATAACTATTTTATGGATAGGAATTAAAACTTTATTAAGTTTAAAAAGTAAAGTATAAACAAGATATAATTCTGTAATGATAAAATATGATTTTCATCTAAATATTACCTTAAACATTTTACTTAACAAAACAGAATATGCCAAACCGTCTTTAGTAATCCCTATGTAAAGAAAATAATGAAAAAAATAAAGAAAATAATGCAATAAAGCAAAGTTTCACAATCACTAATCATCTTTAGAAGAGTTTCTGTAATTAACAAATGCTAAGAGCAGCCAATCTTCTCTAAAGTGCTTCTCAGTGCATTGCTAATAAAGACATCTGATAAAAGACAACTTTGGATCTATCCTCACTCTTTAATCAGTAAACATTATTTTTTCAATATCTATTAACGTGAACAGCAAGTAATAGAGACAGGCATAACCCTTGCTCTCAAATGTCAAATTTGTTTTAAAAGTAACAAACTATAATTAATAATAAAATTAATTTAATTCATGACATTTAACTTCTCCTTTCATTGCATCTACTACTCTATAATCCATTCTCTTCAGTCATTATTAGCTCCTTCCAATAGAAGAATGTAAATCACATCTGTTAGGCAGTGTGCTTTATTTACTAGTGTGGTTGCCTCATGTCATTATTTTAGAATGTTTGATTGCTTCCAATAATTATATATTAATTAATTTTATTAAGTCCAATTCACAATTAATATATTAATTAAAATTTTATTAATATATTAATTCCAACAGTCATACAAGGAAAACCCTAAACAAGAAATGGAAATTTTTCTGAGAATGTGTTTATTAAAACATAATGTTATGAACCTTTAAACACAGATTCAGGTTCAAATCTTTAATATTGAAGGATCTTCTGTAAAATATTACAAAACAATTTGTTTTTATATATTAATACTTTGTGAAATCTGGGCAGCTGAGACTGTTAAAGATCAAATGTGATCTACAGAGCTAAGATGTTTCAAAACATCTTACCTTCTATTCACAGATGAACTTCAATAGGAGAAGATGTCACAGCAGGATATCGTCGGAAAAAATGACATGGTTGTGCCACGTCTCAGAATGAATAAATAGAGAAAGTCTTCTGATGGTTAATGTTTAAGGCTTAGATATTCTGAGTAGCTAAGGATGAAATAACAGAATTTAATCAGGTTAAGGCCTTATCTATTTATACAGACTGCGTTATATTAGCATATGCTGTCAGGTATGGGAGTTTGGGGTAAAATTTGTTGTTGGGGTAATATAGTCCACCATTAAACAATTATGCTACTATTTACTGAGTGCCTCTTTAGTAAAACACAAAAACTCAAATATAAATCTGAATGAAATACCAATACATGCTACAATGTGAAAAAACCCTGAAAACATGCTAAGTGAAAGAAGCCAGAGAGATAAGGTTGCATATTGTATGATTCCATTTAGTTGAAATATCCAGAATAGATAAATCCACAAACACAGAAAGATTAGTGGTTGCCAGGGGTTGTAGGGAGGCAGGGAATAGTGACTGTTTTAATAGGTACAGGGTTCCGTTTTGGGATAATGAAAAGGTTTTGGAATTAGAAAGTGATGATTACACAACACGGTGAATACACTAAATATCTCTGAATTGTATACTTTAAAATAGTTAATTTTATGTCATATGAGTTTTACCTTAATAAAATAAAAAGAAAAAAAACCACAAATATAATCTGACACAACGTCTGTCCTAGAGGAATTGTGAATCTATTAAAATCAAAAGTACATCAAGAGCATTGGTAACTAGCTAAGACATGTACTATACAGAACAAGAGCTAAAGAGTTAACACTTAAAGAAACAGCTTCATGGAGGAGGTGGCATCTGAGTTAAAGCAAAGACTAGAAAGAAAAGAACCTTAAGAATAGTATTATTTGCCCTATCTACATCAGGAGTGCCTTGTGAGATCCATGGAAAGAAAAATGAGGAGAACACTTTCTAAAATGTAAGACATTCATTACAGAAATATGAATCATTATTAGTACCGGTAATTTTGAAGCTTAAAGTTGTTGCAGCTTCCAGTGTTCCTACCTGTATTACTCAGCTCTTGAAACCCACAATAGGGAAGATACAAAGGATATATTAATGGCAATTTATAAAGTAATACTGTGATAATGCAGATGCTCTTAGAATCAATTTTTCCCTTCCATTTACTGTCTTTAAATTTTATAACTGTGTATGTAGAAATGCTTTAACTTGAGTCATTGATGTTAACATTAAACAAATGGTCTGAAAACATAGCCAAAGCACTCTGGAAAAACACTTCAACATAGGTCTCACTTTCCCAGCCTAAATAAGTATGAGCAAATTAAATGAGTGGTACTGCCATTTTTTTTTTTTGCCCTCCATTGAGCCAATTAACTCAAGTCCTGCCTTATATAGCCACTTCTTGAACTACTAGAGAATATTGTGTTTACCTTAATTTTGTTTGTCAAGAAACCTGGGTTTGAATATCTTTTAAACTGCAGATATGACAAGGGAATGGCATGCTTTCTAGAGCAGCCATGTCCAAAACAACTTTCTGCAATGTTGGAATATTCTACATCTGAACTATTCAATACATATGGCCACATATGTCTGTTAAGCATGTCAAATATGACTAGTGGGACTTGAGAACACAAATTTAAATTTTGATTAATTTTAACTGATTGAAATTTTAATAGCCACATGTGGCTAGTGGTACTGGATTGGACAACAGAGTTCTAGAAACTACAGTCAAGTATTAGGGTTATGGTCTCTGCCATACGTCAAAAACAAATCAGTCATAATTATATATACATAGGCTTAATAGTAGTTCAGCAGTAAAGAATCTGCCTGCAATGCAGGAGATACAGGAGATGCCAGTTCAACCCCTGGGTAACAAAGATCCCTGGAGAAGGGCATGGAAATCCATTCCAGGACTCTTGCCTGGAGAATCCCATGGACAGAGGAGCCTGGCAGGCTACAATCCCTAGGGTCGCAAAGAGTTGGAGATGACTGAAGCGATTGGGCACGCGCACACACACACACACACACACACATACATACATACATATATACACACATACATATATATATATCCCTTCCATCCTGACCTCCCTCCCCCACCCCACCCCCTCAATCCATCTCTCTAGGTCATCACAGAGCGCCAGTCAGGGCTCCCTGTTATATAGCAGCTTTGCACTAGTTATCTATTTTACACGTTAGTTTCTACATGTCAATGCTACTTTCTGCCACGACAATATTGTAAAGCAATTATCCTCCAAATAAAAGGAAAATATTAGGGTTATATATCTGGTAGACATTCTCAGACTAAAAATGAGGGTTGTTAGGGGAATAGGAAGATCTGAAAAAATCCTAATGCTTACTGTCAGATTATCTGTAGCTTTAAAATGGATGAAGAAACTGGCAATGAGGCTACCAGCACCGGCCAGCTGCTGGTCCTTCTCTGATTTCCCCCTCACCTGAGGTGTGAGGTTAAGTGAGGCTGCACAGAGGTAGAGGGGTGGATAAAAGAAAGGACCTTTGGTAGGCTCCGGTGGCGAACTAACCTCCAATAGGTTTCAGTTACTCTGAAAAAAATAAAATAAATATAGTTAGTATAACAGAAACCCTTAGTGAAGTTCTGGCATCCAGCTGAGAGTCTGTTAAAATAAAGAGGGAAAAATTTCATATCATTTGAGCACAATCAACAAATGCTTCTTACTATGTGCCAGGCACAGCAAACTTCACTAATTAAAAGATGTGGTTGTGCTTACTATGATTGTGTAATATTACTTAAAATCCTTCAAGGAAAGCAAGTTTTGGTGTGCAATGACTTTCTTATTCTTTTTTGCTATTTAACATTACTCCTTGAAATCTACCTAAATGGCTTTTCTTTTTGTTCTCTTTGTTTTGTTTGTTTTGGTCTTTCCAGTTTCTACTGCTTTCTTCATTTAACTCCAGATACGTGTTACCTGTTTTTACTCTTGCATATTCACGTGGCTGTTTATGCAAAATATTTACCAAGATTTTTCATCTCAGTTTAAAAAAAAAGTAAAAAAAAAAAAGGAAACAGAACTGTCAAAAAAATTTAAAAATTAGTGATCAAATTTCCCTTCTCAAGATCTCAAAGTGCATTCTTATGAATATTGACTAGCTTTGAATATTAGTTTATTTTCAATTACATTCCTTTATGTAGAAAGGTTTGGGTCTACAGTCTATCTAGGAAGATAAACTAGAAGTTCACCTTGAATGGCCCTAATTGCTAGCGTTTCAATTAAGCTTAATGTATTTTAAATGCACAACTATAGAAGTTCTATTATCCATATCCAAGACAATGAGGTGTTAAAATTTCAAACAAAATATTCTAAATTATATCATCAGCTGATCCGGGCAGAGTGGATTTCTTTTTCCATAATAAAACAATATAAATAATGCTGAGAGGGATTATTATGTTATTATCATACAGGAAGAATAATTGACTCAGGGAACTAAAAAAAAAAAAAGTTGCTATCTAATCATAAGGTTGGAATTCGACGGTTAGAAGAGCCGTCAGAGTTCGACGAGGCAGCAGCGCGCGTTTGCCAACAGCTAAAATTCTGTGGTAAATTTTCCTCATGTCGAGCTGATGTTAGCCTGCTCTAAATTCGCGCCCCCACGCCCCCATTTTCCTCCTTGTTCTGCCTCAGGCTGTCTCTGTGAAGGAAATCTCTGGAGACTTTCACCTCAAAGAGACTCCTCCAATCTATGGCTCTGTCCCACCAAGTTGTCAGTTAGCCAAACTAACTGTCCCCTCACTCCCTTTTTCCGTCCTCGGTTTTTCGTAGGACACTTCCCCTGCCTGTCCTCACCCAAAAGTTTCCCACTAGTCGGTCAGGTCCTCCATCTGCTATGCGAAGCTTCGAGCAAAGCTGCGAGACTGAGGCAGCCTGACCACCTGAGGCCAAGAGACCAAGGGCCTCCCGGTTACCCTGACTCTCCCCGTTCCTCTGCCCTGGCAGTCCGGTGGGCCTCCTCCCCTCCACAACTACCCGCGTTTTGTTAGACCATTTCGCCTTACGGGGCTTTCAAATGGATGCTCCTCAGAATGGTAAACGCCTCCCGCTATGCCGCACCCGAGGGTTACAGCAAGCCGACTTCCTACTTGCCTCTTCCCCTACCCTCTCCGGCCAGACGCCGCTGGGGCAGGATTCCCTCAGCTACCAACAGGGCGGTTGGGTATGGGAAGGACAGGTCCCGGTTAAGCTGCGCCCAGCACGCGGGTCACGGCTGCCCTCAGCGCCCGGCGCGTGCCAAGGAACCGCCGGCTGCGGGTGACGTAACTCTGCCCCGACCTGGCGCGCGGGGGTGGGGTTAGCGGTGGGGGCGGGGGAAGTGAGAGGAGAGGAGGCGGGGGGAGTGTTGGGGGTGGGGGCAGCGGCCGTTGGCGTGGGAGCTGGTTTTCGCCCTTTACCCTCACTTAATAGCTGTTGAAAAAGTTTGTTTTCCCTAAAATAGTGTACAAATATCTGTGGGTGTACTTTAAGGGCTCTAAAGAGAAGATTAAACACAGAAACACACTGGCGCGCGCGCACACACACACAAAATCAAGGTGAGCAAGAATTCAAAGCAACAAGAAAACTAACCTGGAAGCAACAGGTGGTCAGATTTCTCAATGAAAGAAATGGTCGAAGGAATGCTGAACCAATGTGAAACGCCCCTCTCTAGCGTTTATGGGAAATCCAGTTTTTTGGGTTTTTTTTCTCCTTTCTTAATCTAAACTTGTAGACCTAGAAACTGAGGCCTCGAGTTGAGGGCGTGGGGGCGGGGATGGGGGAAGGCTACAACTAGGATCTCTAGTAGCCTTACACTCTCAGGATTAGTTCAAGTAGCTTCCATTTTGAAGTGCTATGGATTTAGATAATATGCTGGTTTAAACTGGACCCGTGCTAGTACTCAATGTTCAAAATTAAACTTAGAATATTTTGTTTCTTTTGAACACAAATTGTCACAGGAACACTGAATCCCTTGACCTTGTAAATTTATGAACGCTGTTTTAAGCAAAGCTGAAATTTTCTCATGCTATTAATCCTCAATATGATATCTGAGTATTTCTTTTCCTTCACCAAGTGTTCCTGAAGCTGTGCGGCCTTACATGGTACCATAATAGGCGAACATACTTATATTTAAACTCCTTTATCAAAGCAAACGTCCAAAAGCTGTAATGAGCTAACTCAAAATTTCTATTAATAGCCCTATTCACTGGAAAACATTTCTTAGGTATTCCATATCACCAAAGGAAGTCATCTGGTCCACAAAATAGAATATTTAAATACTAAATGTAGCTAGCATGAACATGAAAAAAATAATTTTATGTAATTCCCTCATTTACTGTTGAGAAAATGGAGACCCAGATAGAAAAGAGTTGTTTCAAATCATACAACAGTTTAGTGGCAGAACTAGAAAAAGAATCCAAACATCTGAACCTCAGTGCAGTGCTCCATCCACCAAACCCCAAACATACTGGAATTAAATGATATCTCAAGCAAATGGTGAAAGTTTGGAAAGATGTCATGTGTATCTGTTTCCTGGGATCAGGACACAAGAAGGGATGATAAAAAACAAAAACAATCCCCCCCCCCAAAAAAATCCAAACACTAATGATGAGAAAGGAAAGTAGAATATAGTGAGTAAGTGGGAAGAGGTGGAAGCGAATAGAAAACTGTGTTTTGCAAGTTCACTTCTGAACAAACGAAATTATTACAATCAGTTAGCAAGCAGGAAGATTCTGGCTCTCATCCACTTTTACAAAAACAGATGTTTCCCACTTTAATTAGCTATCTCACTTCGGCTTCTCTCCTGTTTCCTCAACCTCTGAATCTTATATGTATCTGCTATATAAATTTAAGTAATCATTATTATTAATATTATTGCTACTACTGACATAATTTCTGGATTCCTGCAGCTCAAAACTGTCTTTTCAGCAGTTGAACATGTCATTCAAAAGTGTGTGTATTCACAGAAGCTAGATTAGAGCTGACACATTCAAATTGTGGGATTTTACTTTCTGTTGTTTAAGTAGCAGGATATATTTCTGTGGAGCTGGGACAAACCACTTCGTTTGCTGTTATTCTCCATGGTTTCAGCTTTATGCAAATTACTGATAGACTGACCCCTGCTAATTTGTTAATAATTGTTGACAAACTCCCTTGTAAGATACTTGTAGTTTAGCAGTAGCTTTGTGTACTGAATGGTAATCAGAGAAACCTGTCAAAATTTAATGACTTCTGAATCCCCTTTTGTTTGCTCATTAAAATTATACATATAAGACACACATATGTAATGTATTAACTATCCATATATGTTTATAAGTATATATACATATGAATATTTATATATAATAAAGACAACTAAGAATAAGAAACACAGTAGTAAGGTTTATGAATATCATGTCACAGATTTTAAAAGACTTTGACATGTATTTTCTCATTTCTTTCAGCAAATGATGTACTATTTGCCAGAAAGCAAAACTAAATTATTATGAGCCATTGCTACATTTTGTTAACACAGCCAGTTAGATTCTTGACTTGATAATAACTGAGCTAAAACTCAGGAGGGGATATGCAACAAGTACCTTACAAATAATCTCCTGCATCTGCATCATGCCATGTGAGCTGCAAAGCATCTCTATGTATATTACATTATTTGAGCCCCACAGCAACACTTCGAAAATGATTGAGAGGAGAGACTTTTATATCCATCAGACGATTAGAAAACTGAAGCTCAGGGGTTTAAATTATTTACCCAGTGCATCATTGCTGGCTAAGTAAAACTGCTGATACTTAAACCCAAATTGTCTAACTCCTATTTCAGTGTTCTGTTACCCCAGTGATTGAGGAACAATTAATTGTATATCACAAGCACAGGATTTGACTTTCTAGACAAAAACTATTCTAGCTCCAATCATATCTCTCAAAATATTCTTTCTCTGTCCTCTCACTCCTATTCTTCTTCTTACACTGTCTGACAAATATAAACTTTTATGCACTTCCTTGATGATACTCTTTACTTCTGGAATTAAACTATTACTCAATGCAAATGATCCCCAAATCCTAATTTACAGGCATATTCATCTTTATACACATTGTTATCAACTGGAATAAGTTATCAAAACCAACCCGTTTAACTTGTTCAGAATGGCTCTGCAATTCTTCACACAAAAACGAGAATACTCTGTTTATTATATATATATATATATATATATATATATATGTAGTTTTATATATATATATAATTATAGAAAGTTCTGTGTATGTATGAATTTACAGAACCTTCCATAATTAAAAAGAGATCTGCTAACAAAAGTCTAGCTGAGTGAATTGGTATTAGAGTGGAATAGCCCAGGCATATTGAGGAAGCCAAAGGAGAAAAAAGATTCAAAATGATGGTGTTTATCTTCAAACAGATAAAGACATTGGACTTACTCATAAGAGGCCACTGATGTACTTGGAGTGGTTGAAGTCCAAATTTCAATTACTAGTAATAAGTATGATAACAACCCCAATTATTGAGCACTTATTCCATGACAGAAATTGCACTCTAGTTTATTTAATTTCTAAGATTAAAAAATATGCATTATAACATAAATACAAAAAGGGGCACACATTGTAAGTGTAAAACTCAATGAATTCTCTCAAACTACACCCTTCTTTACTTTATAAGCATATCAAGATCAAGAAACAGAACACTACCTATACTTAGCACCTTTTAAAATAAAGTATTTTTCATTTTTTCAACAACTCAGTGAAATGGTTATTTCCTTTTTCTATATGATGAATCTGGCTCAGAGATATAAACATGTTCAAGATTACCCAGCTTACAAATTTCAGAGATGAGTTTAAAATATTTCTCTCAATCTGCAAAGTTCATGCCACACATTTACCTTTAAAAAGTTTAACAGTGATATACAAACTAAATATAGGACTGAAATTTGAGAAAAGATTTGAGACGTTTGAGAGAAGAGATGATCCTTGGGGATAGTCGAAGACTGAGGAGAAGGAGTTGGTGGAAAGGAAAGATCAAAGATACAAGAAAGAAAAAAGTTAGGTTGCTAAAGAGATGGGAGATAAAAGAATAATCAAGAAAAAAAAAAAGGAACACATCCTTTTAAGCAGAAGGATAAGCAGATGAACCTATGGGGAAATATTGAGGTGGAATGAGACTGTAGAGTGAAGCAAATCCATTTATATTGAGAATGAGAAGCACGGATGTTAGGTAGAGTTTTTAAGTATCATTTCAGGGGGAAAAACATGCTTTATTTAAAGTGAGAAGGTGGAAAAAAGAGAATAATCAACTGACATTTATTGAATACTTAAAATGCTCTGGGTATTCTTCTAAGTAATTTACCTATTTTGGCTTATCCAGTCTAATAAACAACCCTGCAATATAGGAACTAATGATCTCCCCATTTTACATATTAAGAAACTGAGTTAGGTATTCAGCTTAAGTTAACATAAATAAGCTAATAATTTGTGGATTCAGAATTTGAACCCAAGCCATCTGGTTACAGATTCCTTTCACACAGACAGATGTGGAAGTATTTGTTCACAAGAGAATGAGTGTCAAAACACTCAATGGATGAGAGAGATGGGCTAATAGGGAAGGAGGAGAGGCATAGGGATAGGTAGAACTGAATTAAATGAGATTGAAAACATGGAAGAGAGAAGATCATGCCTTATGTGAAAATTCTGATGTATTGGAAAGAATGGCTTCATAGTCAGACACTGAGACCTGAGTTGATGTCTCAGCATGGTACTTACTAGATGTGTACTAGTAAGTATAGATGTGTACTACTAAGTATAGAAAATGTGTAAATTATCCTAGTAAGAACCATTCTGCAGAAGGTCTATGTGTTCCTAATTCAAGAAATTGTTGCTATATAGATAGGTATAAAATGTTTTATAATTTGAAATTAAGAGCATTAATTTGAGCTATATCTCCCACTTTACCACCTCAACACCCTTAGTTTTTAAACTGTCCGCCAGAATTTGCAATATATGTGTAAGTAGTGACAATCTCTGTACATAGTGTTTTATGAGGGATGTAAAAAACACACATAGTTTCTCAAATTCCCCAGTAGCCTGTCATAGTGGGTAATATTTTCATTCCTTCCTTTGGGTTTAAAGCCCAAATCTGAAGGTTCAGAAAATGACAGAATAAATCTCATTTGTATTCATTAGCAACTTACTGGTGGTTTATCAATTCCCTAGCCAAGAGATTGAGGAAGGG